ACTCTTCAAAGAAGATTTGTAATCTTAGTGGTGTGAGGTTCATTGTAAGCTTTTCATTTGTGAGTGAATACTTCATGAGTGTAGCTCTGTGAGGGTTGTCCTAAGGGATAGTAAAACGTCCTGGCTTGACCGAGGGAGTTCGGGGCAAGGAGGAGGTGAACCTTCCTTTGTACACAAGAGTGATTGTAATTCATCAATTTGAAGTAGCTTGTTTGAAGCTCAAGAGGAGTTAGGTAGTTAATTGGTTTGCAATTCTTTCCTTTTACTTATTGTTACATTTATGATCTTTAAATTGTTTATCTCTTCTACTCACAAGCACTTGTGCTTTCTTATCAACTGCTCCATTGTGTGGTCGCCTAGAAAAGGGTTGTTTTCGGGCCTTACATAGGGTGCCTAATAGAATTAATAAAATTTATTTACAACATATTGGGCAATATTGAAAAAATTAGGGTGGCATAGTAGAATTAATGAAAGTGAGTTAGGAAGAATTACTTTAGACAGTGACAACTAACTTTGAACCCGTAACACATTATGATAACACTGTAAGTAGTCACTATGCCCATTAAAGTGACAACATTTTTTCAAGTCGTCACAATGATGACTTCCCGTCACACATGCCATTTGCTCGTCACAATACCCATATTGTGACGATTAATCTCGTGTTGTCACTGATGATGAGACTACCCTCAGTCAACTATGATAACATCAAAAGTCGTCACTAAATTTGCTCAACTGTGACAACTTTTTCTGTTGTCACTGAGAATATTGTCATAAAAGGTCAAATTTCTTGTAGTGGGTTCTGTTATGTATATGTACAATTTGGCAACTTAAAGTAAACAATCGACAAACCTTAGATGATTCGACATTGAATTTTTTGTCCTAACATCCTTCGAGAAAAGAAAAGAAAAGAAAAGAATACTTTTACTTTGTAACTATCTTAAATCTGGACTAGGAGTGGATTTAGTCCAATACACCATTTTAAGTCACAGGGCTTGCAAAATTTCCTCCAAGTGCAACTGTTGTGAGAGACATCTTGTATATGTTCTACATGTTAATGTCAGTTTTCCAGTTATTTGGTTTCGTTTATTACATGGCACAATTTCAGAGAATTTTCAATCAAAATAAGTGGCAAATAATTTTATTTCCGGTCATTTTATCTCCTTTGTTATGTGACATAATTTAAGAGAATTTTGAGTCAAAATAAGTGGCAAATAATTTTATTTCTAGTCATCATATTTCCTTTATTACGTGGCAAACAAGTGGCATAAATGTCAATGAAAATATTTTTTATTTTGAATAATCAATTTACGAGGGTTTATGAATAATTCTTTATATGGTTGGATAATCCATACTCAGTAAACATAATTGTCCAACTAATTTTTTTTTAAAAAAAATTCAGCTTTTCAATACAATGCCCCTTCATAATGAATAATTACACAAATATGATCAGATAATTTTTAGTTCAAAGTTAAATAGATTTATATGATACGAATACAACATAATTATTAAGGCTGGGATTCAAACTCGCGACCATAGCAAAAGGAGTAGCTTGAGGGTGACTAATCACCTAGCCAACCGAGCTACAAAATTGGTTCAGCTTAAATAAACTTTTTTTTTTGAATTATATAAACAACAAAATATGGAAATACCACTCTGACTATTTATTTATTTTTTCATGCATTAATGAAGAGGTAAAAATCTAGTTCTTATTGACTTTGGACTTTTGTTGCTCTTTCGTCTGTATTAGCATAAGAAAGAAGAAATAACGAGAACAAATTTGGCACCAAAAATGAAACAACCCTTCATACTAGCCAGAAAATTTATCAAAATCATTGCTTGCATAATCAACCTATATCTAAGGATTTCTTGCACTTTTTAATAAATCAATTTACAGATATGTTTGCACTTCTTATGAAGTCGTAGCTCATATAATCAACCTTTTCTTGTCAAATTTGGAATCCTGACTCTGAGCATGACAAGAAGATGCCTCCTACAAGTCTCACTCTTATCGCATGTTTTGGAAATTTTCACTGACTTGAACTACAAAACCTGGGACAGATCAAGACCATTCACGGAATTGATGCCCAAAAGCCCAAAAAAAAGAAAGAAAGAAAGAAACATAACTTTTCTTTTGAATTTATTCTTGTTTGTAAGGTATACGCTAACGTTTTCTGATTCACAGAACTGGATTGAAAAAACATGTTACGGAATTGAGAGTGTATCAAATTCAAGAATTTTTTCATGCCATCAAATAGCTAAACTTATTGATTATTTATTTTTCTATCAAACAAAAATCTTTCTGACCAAAATAAACAAAAGCAACAAATAAACATAAGCAATTGAAATAGAGTAATGAAGGACCCAATACTTACTGAACATGTGATGCTAGGGCAAGAGATTTTACTCTCTTTAATGTTCCTAAATTAACTAAATAGTTAAACTTTTCGAAGCTTGTACAAAAACATTTTTCCTTTTTCTTTAAAGAGGATCGATAGTGGACTCCACCAATCCTCTTGACAGTTCAAACCTAAAATCTATTCCTTACTGATGAAGCATCTTACCAACAAAACTGTATATTTTTATCATATATGTAAACAAATTTTAATTCTAAAGTAAAACACATAAGACAATGAAGTGCAACTTAAATTCTTAAGACACTTTACCTGTCATTTGGAACTTAAATTCTAGTCACCAATGGGTAGTTGAAATCCCACACTTGATCCTCTTTAGGGGGAAAAAGAACAAAAAGAAAATAAAAGAAAAAGGAAAAAAATTGTTAATTGTTTAATAAGATTTGTCTGACTGCTGCCCGGTAGGCACAAGTTAACCAGTCCCCGTGTCTTTAAAATTTGAAAGGGTAAAATTAATTCGAAGTTTATGCTTATATGGGAAATGTTTGCATGCGATTGAAATTTGCTAGTCAGTTTTAATGACCATAAAGTGAACCGTTCTATGTAAAATTGACAAAGTCATGGAAGCGTCATGTTTTTCCAAAGAAAATGCGTCAGTCGTTGGATGTGCATTCATAGCTAATGTATTATGTGTTTGCCATGAATGGATTGGAAAGCAACTTTTCAAAATTGCTACGTTTTTCGAACGTATTTTTCAATTATTTTTATACCTCACATATATCAAATTGTTACAGTAATTTTTCTACAAAAAAAAATTCGAAAAAATGCAATCCAAACATGACTATATATGCATGGACATCAAAATCATGGATACAAATGCTTGTAGGTCATAGTCTACTTGTGTAGTTTGCTTTCAATTTTAATTTGTTTGTCTAGATGGGATAAAGTTTGGTATTGGTCAAATTACGTAGCGTCTAAATATTGGTATTTAATTTTAAACAAACTCTGATTTGTCATTTGTCACTGTCCTGATGATGGTATTAGATAGTTGCTTGGATAATTATGTCCTCAAGTAGAAGTAAATATAGCTTTCACCTTGTCCTATATGTTTAAGTTATTCCTTAGTGCTTTTCTAATTTTTGCCTTTGTTGAATTGTTTATTCTTTAAGTTTTTACTTTGAGAGAATTCTCCTAATTTACTTAAGCCACCGTATTTTCAAGGCGTTTTAGAGGCATCCTTGGTTAAAAAATGTTGGTCTGACAATTCAGGATATTCACATAAAAAAATGTCCATGTACAATTTTTGGGTATTTTTGTGCAGTAAAATTTGTCTTCAATACTTTCTTTTAGTGATATAACAGATAAAGCGTTTCTACTGCAGACAAGTTGAGACCGCTTGCGAGTAAATGGATGTCTTTGACTGTGGTTCATCTTGATGTCATGAGAACTAAAGGAACAGCTTATTCAGATACTCTACAGTTGCAACAGCAACGGTTACCAAACTCCACCACTTGCAGATTTCAATCTTTGAAAAATGATGTATTGTTGCGTACTAATTGGCTTCCTCCGAAAGTTCGGAGCAGCTTCCTCAAGTATATCAAATAGTAATGCACCATCTCAAAGCCAATATATAATAACAGCAACTTGACAATTTTGCTTATTTTATAAAAAGTACAAATCCTATTGCACTCCTAAGAAGCTATTTTTTGGGGTGTTTTTGAAAAATTTTACTGTAACAGAGTTTTTAGATTATATTTTGAGATATTTTTAGAAAATATTTTGAAATATTTAAGAGTAGAAGAGTTTCTAGAATATATTTTGAAATACTTTTTAAAATTTTAAAAAAATTTAAACTAATTTTTAAATTACCTTTTAGAGTACATTTTAAAAATTTTTATTGTATTTGAAAAACTAATTTTTGAAAAATACTCCCATCCAAACAGAGCCTAAGTATTTAGTTCCAAATTGAATATTTTACTTAAAAGAGGACGAATATTCAAGGTTAGGAGCTTCAGCTACAATCATTTATTACTATGATTAACCAGTTAATAGTAATATATTTTTGTTGAAACTTATAGAGTGCTTGGTAATTAAAATTCACGCATCAATTTTATATTTGCTTCTCTTTTTTCTCCTCCTCTTTCTTCTGCTTTCTTCCAACTCTTTCTTCTTGTAGTTTTTTTAGATGTTTTATATTTAATTAAAACTATGACATATATAGGTGAGTAGACATTGATTCCTTACTATAAAGCAGTGAATCGCATAATCTATAGAAACTTATAATGGTTCTATCATATCCTTTAACTCATTCCGAAACTTCAAATAGTTAATGTAAGAAGCATTTGGAGTCTATCGTGTTGGACAACTCAAATGTTGGGTGACAATGGGATGTGCGGATCCTCTTACATTTGTACCGCCTAGATATCCGGCAATAATTGAATAGAAGTTGTGGACTACAATGAAAAGACCATCACAGTAGCCACCACGAAAGTCGTCGCGACCGGCATGTTGATGTAGCAAGAAAACAAGTAGCAGCGCACTAGTAATCCTAAGTAACCAATTAATCTGATCGTCCGCCTTGGTATCAAGCTTCTATTTGCAACAAAAAATCCTTTCCAAATACTCCTTGTACCCCAGAAAGCAAAAGCAATGGCTGAACTGTTTGTTCCAAAGATAATAGATCAATTGGGTGACGTTGTCGTGAAGCAGCTCGGGGAGAAGGTTAACCTGCTGATGGGGGTTGAAGAAGAGGTGGGAAATATCTCCTCCAAGTTGGCTACAATTGAAAAAGTATTGCATGATGCGGAGAGACGAAGGCTAAAGGAAAAAGGTGTTGCAATTTGGCTAGAAAAGCTTGAAGGCATAACATATGAGATGGATGATGTGTTGGACGAATGGAACTTCAAGATTCAGAAACCAAAAAATGAGGGAACTCATCAGAATGCCAGAATGCAGCCAATATTGAGGAACAAGGTATGTTCCTTTATCCCATCCCTTTGTTCATGTCTCAAACAAGTTCCTATCCGTAGTAATATTGCTTCAAAGATAAAGAAAATAAATGAACAGCTAGAATTAACTTTGAAAGAGGCAGATCAATACAAGTTCATTTCAAGTGGGGGGGTTCCTGATTCTCAAGATTTTCAGCGAATCATGACTACCTCAATCATAGATGAATCAGAGATCTATGGTCGAGCATCTGATAAGGCTGCTTTACTTGACCAAGTTTTGCCTGAGAGTAGTAGTCAAGGAAGAGATAGGGTTCAAATTATCTCTGTAGTAGGGGCAGGGGGTAGTGGAAAGACCACACTTGCCCAGCTACTTTTCAATAATGACAAAGTAAAGAACCAATTTGAACTTAGAAATTGGATCTGCGTATCAGATCCTTTCGACCAGAAAAGGATCGCAAAAGCTATCCTTGAGAGTGCAGGAAGGAGTTCTCATGAGATGTCAGAGTTGGATTCGTTGATCCGACTTATAAAAGAAACTTTTTCCAGTAAAAAGTTCCTGCTTGTCCTAGATGATGTCTGGACAGAAGAAGACTCAAAGTGGAAGCCTTTCAAAGACTCTCTTAAGGATGGAGCTCCTGGAAGTGTAATCCTGGTGACGACAAGGAGTCTAAGAGTGGCCAGAGTGGTGGGAACGACTCATACTCACCCCCTGGGCCTGATCTCTGATTCTGATTGTTGGCTAATAATGCAAAGGATAGCATTTGATGGAAGATCAGAGGAGTGGTGCCGGAAAGTGGAAAGCATTGGACAGAAAATTGCAGAAAAATGCAAGGGCTTGCCACTTGCTGCGAAGATGATCGGAAGTTTGTTACGGTTCAAAGACAGCATACAACAATGGCAAAATATTTTGGATAGTGAGATATGGCAATTGAAGGAAGCAGCTGTGGACCTTTTTCCTCATTTTTATTTAAGCTATAACGAGTTATCCCCGGAGCTGAAACGTTGCTTCTCCTATTGTGCTGTCTTTCCTAAAGATCATGATATAGATGTAGAAGAGCTTATTAGACTATGGATAGCACAAGGTTATGTTCGCTCAAATCGAAGAGGTGAGTGCTTGGAGCTGATGGGCCTTGAGTACTTCAACAATTTGGCAATGCGTTCCTTTTTTCAAGAATTGGAAAAAGATAGTGATATTTTTCTGCGGGAATATATGAAGTGCAAGATGCATGACATAGTTCATGATTTTGCACAATTTCTCACGAAAGATGAATGCCATGTACTGGGTGGAATTGATTATGAACAAGGCACTAGAGGAAACTCATCTAGTGAAAGACCCCGTCATCTAACATGGCTAGGCACTGAGGAGATGTTAAGTTCTCCGGTCCTTGATATTGGAAGGCTCAGGAGTTTTATTGCTCTTTCTCCTGAAACAGTTCCCCTGGATCTATTTCACAATCTAAATTGTGCAAGGACTCTAATTTTAAGAGATTGTCACCTACGTAAAGTCCCCGCAGAGCTCGGAAGTTTGATTCATCTGCGTTACTTGGACTTAAGTGATAATCCTTTCAAGGCATTGCCAGAAGCTATTTGTGATTTATATTATCTAGAAACTTTAGATATAACCATGTGTGACAAGCTCTTGCGCCTTCCTCAAAGGATTGAAGGCCTAGTACACTTGAGGCACCTTGTCAATTATGGCACCTATGAATTACTTCAAATGCCACAAGGACTTGGGAAGCTGACTTCACTTTGCAGTTTGACTCAAATCATTGCCAAGAGCAACTTTGATGATTTGGCAATTTTGAAGGACCTAAATCAACTGGAAAGATTGCGCATTATTATTGATGGAGAAGTGGATTTTGGGAGTGCAAATTTTGGAGGAAAAATTTACATGCGTGAATTGTTCTTGGGGTTCAACTGCGAGTTTGAAACAGCATGTTGGATTGATACTATGGAACCACCTCCAAACTTGCAACAACTTGCGCTACTTGGCTATCCAGGAGTCCAGTTACCAATTTGGCTTGTGACAGAATCTCTCATCAATAACTTGACAAAGCTAACTATCTCTTTCGCCAGCAATCTCTCATCCTTGCCTAATTTGTGGAAGCTGTCATCCCTAGAAGAAGTTAGGCTCTCCGTTGTGGGCAAGCTAGAATATCTGGGTAAGGAATTCTTTGGAATCACAGAAGTACTACATGAGACTAGTCATGATGCTGTTGATACATTGTCAAACTTCAAGTCGTCAACCTCAACTGACACAGTAGTATTTCCAAATTTGAGAAAATTATGTTTTGCGAATTTATCAAATTGGACAATTTGGGAAGACCTAAGCAAAGATGATGAAAAAGTTGACGTCTCTATCATGCCATGCTTGGAGGAGTTAGAAATTGTGAATTGTGATATGCTAAAGGCTTTGCCACATCGCATTCTTGGAAAGATACTATCTCTCAAAAGTTTGGAAGTCCGGCATTGCAAGAAGTTGAGGAAGCTGTTAGGATCGGGCCAGGAAATAGACAAACTCAAGTTAGCACAAATTAGGCGGTATAACCGACCATATAATAGATAGGCGGTAGATACCAGCCATATAATAATTAGGCGGTAAAACCGACCATATAAAGACGGATAACAAAGCAAATAAAAGACACAGAAGATTTACGTGGTTCGGTCAAATTGACCTACGTCCACGGGCGAGAGAGGAGCAATATTTTTACTATGAAGAAGAAATACAAAAGCCGTAGGAAAGTGGTTCCTAGGCCAATAAGGCACTTATAAAAGAGTTTAGAAAATATTCCTAAACTCAAAACAAGAGAGCCTAAAATATTTGACTGAATGGGCTAGATGACTCAAGAAGCTAATAGCCCATATAACTCTCTTGAGTGGTGCAAGTTAAATCCTTCAATGGACCCTTCTATTTATAGGCCTCGAGTAGTCGGCTTCTCTTCAGCAGGCTCCGATGTGGGATGAGAAGGAAATGAAAAAATTATGCCACAAGTCAAAGCTTGCGGCTCTGACAAAACAACAAATCTCCACCTTGGCATAATTTTGAATTCTATCATCGACAATAGTAAAAATTGCTCCACCTTCTCTACATAAGTCCCAATGGGCTTTATTGCAAACAACGAACACCAACTAAATCCAAGCACTGCTTGAACTTGTAAAGTGGAAGATGTTTTGTAAACATATCGGCTGGATTGTCCTTAGTATTGATTTTCTGAATAAGGACTTTTCCCTCAGCAATGATATCCCGAATGAAGTGATACTTCACATCAATATGTTTCGTCCTCTCATGATACATCTGATCTTTAGTCAAGTGTATGGCACTTTGACTATCACAGTGAATAACAGTAACACCTTGATATAGACTTAGCTCGCTAAATAAACTCTTCAACCACAAGGCTTCTTTGATTGCCTCAGTCACAGCCATATATTCTGCTTCTGTAGTAGACAAAGCTACGACAGGTTGTAGAGTAGCTTTCCAACTAACAGCACAACCGCCAATGCAAAATACATAACCTGAAAGTGATCTTCTCCTGTCAAGATCTCCAGCGTAGTCTGAGTCTACCAAACCAACCAAAGTATTATTATTTCTTCCAAACTCCAAACATGCATTTGAAGTACCTCGCAAGTATCTGAGAATCCACTTCACAGCCTGCCAATGTGCTTTACCAGGGCAGGACATATATCTGCTAACAACACTGACTGCTTGTGCAATATCTGGACGAGTACAAACCATTGCATACATAACACTGCCGACTGCACTGGAATAAGGAACCCGTGCCATATAATCTTTCTCTTCATCTGATTTTGATGATTGAGCAGCAGATAGCCGAAAATGGCTAGCAAGAGGAGTAGATACTGGTTTAGCATCTTTCATGCCAAAACGTTCCAAGACTTTCTCAAGGTAATTTTTCTGGGTCAAGAACAACTTCCCTACTCCTCGATCTCGATTGATATCCATGCCAAGAATTTTCTTAGCTGCTCCCAAATCTTTCATTTCAAATTCACTATTTAACTGCAGTTTCAAGGTGTGAATTTCTAACAAATTCTTGGCAGCAATGAGCATGTCATCAACATATAACAATAAGTAAATGAAAGAACCATCATTTAACTTCCGGAAGTAAACACAACTATCATACATGCTCATCAAATAACCATGACCCAACATAAAGGAATCAAACCTCTTATACCATTGTCTTGGAGACTGTTTCAATCCATATAAGGATTTCTTCAACAAGCAAACATGGTCTTCTTTACCTTCAATCTCAAAACCCTGGGGTTGTCTCATATAAATTTGTTCTGCAAGTTCGCCATGTAAGAAAGCTGTCTTAACGTCGAGCTGTTCTAACTCCAAATTATACATGGCAACTAAAGCAAGCAAAACACGAATAGAGCTATGTTTAACAACAGGTGAGAATATATCATTAAAATCAACACCTTGTACCTGACTATATCCCTTTGCAACTAATCGTGCTTTATACCTTGCATCTTCAACCCCTGGAATACCTTCCTTTTTCTTGAAGACCCACTTGCAACCAACAATTTTCTTAGCTGACGGCGGCTTTACAAGAACCCAAGTTTCATTTTGATGAAGAGATTCAATTTCTTCATTCATCGCAATCAACCACTTTGCAGAATCATCACAAGAAACTGCTTCTGAATAGGTGGAAGGCTCACCAACTGCATCAGTTTCTTCTGCAACAGACAAAACATATGCAACTAAATTTGCATATCTTTGTGGTGGTCGAATGTCTCTCCTTGCTCTATCTCTGGTTATGGAATACTCTTCTTCTTCTGAACTATCTTCAACAGTAGATTCAGGTGTATCTACTGGTACTTGTTGAATAGAAGATCTAGTTTGAGAAGGACCAGAACTGCTAATATCAAGCTCCACCTGCTTCTGTGTACTATCAGTAGTACAAGGACTAGAAGACTCCTTCTTGGAAGATAACATAAACAATTCATCAAAAGTAACATCTCTACTGATTACAAATTTTGGAGATTTGGGATCAGGACACCATAATCTGTATCCTTTCACCCCGGAAGCATACCCAAGAAAAATGCACTTTTTAGCCCTTGGCTCCAATTTTCCATCATTCACGTGCATGTATGCTGGACACCCAAAAACTTTTAAATTTGAGTAATCAGCAGGAGTACCTGACCAAACTTCCTCAGGAGTTTTGAAATCAAGAGATGCAGAAGGAGAACGGTTGACAATATAACAGGCCATATTGATCGCCTCTGCCCAAAAGTCGTTTGTCAACCCTGCATTGGAGATCATACATCTTGCTCTCTCCAAAAACGTTCTGTTCATACGTTCGGCCACACCATTTTGTTGAGGCGTCATCCTGACGGTGTGATGCCGAACAATTCCTTCATTTTTGCAAAATTCATTAAATTCACCTCACAAAATTCCATGCCATTATCTGTTCTCAACCGCTTAACATGTTTTCCTGTTTGTTTCTCAATCAAAACTTTCCATTGCTTGAAAGTTAGGAAAACATCATTTTTGTGCTTAAGAAAATAGACCCAAACTTTCCTTGAATAATCATCAATGAAAGTCAACATGTACCTGGCACCACCTTTAGAAGGAGCACGAGAAGGACCCCATAGATCTGAATGAATGTAATCAAGAGTACCTTTTGTCTTGTGAATTGCTGGTGAACTGAAGCTGACTCTTTTCTGCTTCCCAAAAATACAATGTTCACAGAATTTCAATGGACCGGTACTTTGTCCACAAAGAAGTCCTCTTTTGCTCAGTATGCCCAAGCCTTTTTCGCTCATGTGCCCCAAACGCATATGCCATAATTTGGTGATGTCAGTATCTGACAAAGATGATGTTGAAACAGCAGCAGCACCTGTCACAGTAGATCCCTGCAAAATATACAAAGTACCAGATCTGTGTGCCTTCATAACAACAAGAGCTCCTCGAGTGATTTTAAGAACTCCATCTCCACCTGAATACCTGCACCCAATAGACTCAAGAGTGCCCAAAGAGATGAGATTTTTCTTCAAATCTGGAACATGTCTAACATTTGTGAGCGTCCTCACAATACCATCGTACATTTTAATCCGGATTGTGCCTTTGCCAATAACTTTACAAACAGCGTTGTTGCCTATTAAGACAACTCCACTTTCAGTTGATTCATATGTTGAAAACCAGTCCTAGCCGTCGGTAAATTTTGCACTCATATCAATGGTATTGTATGGTAGGAAAGTAGTGGTTAAGTAGTGTGTTCAATCGGTAGTGAACGGTACCCGTCGGTTCTAGCTGTTTTTCCTTAAATCGCATATACTAGGGTTTTTAACTTCTAATCACTAACTTATTATTATCACTTCTAATCATATAATATTTGCTCATCCAAAATTCACTCTTACCTACCAAATTTGATCCTTACTCCGTACCGAATAGTCACACTACGGAAAAACGTGAAAATCCTAATTCGCTCTAACTTGAAAACGAACAACGAAAACCCTTACTTCTATATTCATTTACACTTATTGTAGGGTGATTGGGTATTAGGGCCATTATAAATGAATAATTTTCAAATAAAATGGCATTTTTAAGAAAAATATAAGGAATTTACAAGTCCTCACAGAGTCAAATTCAAGCTCGCTCGACTCAATGAACAAGCCTTGAAGTGTGCTTGAGATTGACTCAACAAATAGGACTTTAACTCGAGCTTGTGCTCATTTATCACATATGAGCCAACCTCACATGAACTCGAAATCTCAAATAGCTTTTGTTGCCAATTTAGATGATATTTATATAAATGCCACAATTCAATCACACAATGGCATATATGTCTTTTTTTATCGAGCCCAAATGAGCTATTCAAATAACAAACAATTGGAGCTATCTTGAATAGTTAATTAATCGAGTATGTTTCTAACTCGAACTTAACTCGTTTACTGAAATTAACGAGTCAAGTTAGAGCATTATCAAGTCGAGCCCATTCAAGTTTTCAAACTATTTGTTTCATTTAACAAGACTAGTGATAGATAACAGTAACTGACTGTGGCATATGTGATTTGACCACTTAAATTTTGACAATTTGAGATTTTAGGCAAGTAAAATATGATTAGTAGACTGTGTAGCATCAAGATTGTGATTTGTGTATTTTAAGAAAGCAACAAAAGGATGCTTTTCAAACTAGTATATCTTGGAGGGTTAGAAAATTACTGAAAATTATTCATTCAGATTTATGCACTGTGGAAGTTTCTTCTCATGGTGATTACAGGTATTTTATTGCTTTTATTGATGATTTTAGTAGAAAAGCATAGATGTATTTTTTGAAGTAGAAATCTGATACTTGTAACACTTTTCAAATTTTTAAGCCTTTTGTTGAGAGACAAAATGGTTGTCAGTTTAAAATTTTGAAAACAGATAGGGGTTAGGAATATTTGATTTGTGATGATTTTCTTGAGAAAAATGAGATACAGTATCAATTGACTATCAGGTACATTTCACAACAAAATGAAGTGGCAAAGAGGAAGAATATGACAGTTATGGATATTGTGAGGTG